TAGACTGTATCAGTGATTGATCATGACTATGACACTTCATGTGGACTGATTCGGGTACGGTTTATTCACAGATTTTGTTGAAAATAACTTGTACTTCAACACGTATAATATCACTCAATTCTCTTATTAGACAGTCATTGTTCTGGTCCACAACAGGAAGTAGGGAAACGTAACTCAAGTCTGTTTCTTCCTCCTTTTTTTGCTAAATTAAATAAGGCCCCCTTTCAAATAAGCCACCCCCTCTCTCTATCAAGTCCTTCCTTAAGCGTGGTTAAAATAATTAAGTCCTGAGAGGAAAATCAGAGGATTTACAGTATTTTTTCATGGAAATCCAGGCGTGTCTTCTATTGGAGCGTTCGATTTCAAAAGGTACCCCCCAATCATGGCCAAAAAGACCGTTCCGAACCTCCTTATTTAGTACCTTGTTTGACACACTCATCTTGATGCTTGAAAAGTGGCGTTTGAATAAGATCGCGTCACTTTTTCATTAGAAGTTGGACAAAATCTAACTGTTCTCAGTTATTTCGCGATATTTTTCAATCACTTCCTTTATTCTCAAAATTTGCATTTTTGTCCAGATAATCATATTTTTAAGGAGAAATTTACAATATTACTCACCAATGTTTGAGAGCCCTTCTTTCTCCATTATACCTACGAAATGAAGTAAACGTAAATCCAATTTCGTTGGAAAAGGATGGAAACAGTAGTATATCGAACAGAAACAACTGATAATAACCTAGTTTCATTTAACAACTATTCACCTCAGTGTGGGTGATTAGTGGTGGATATTTACCTAGTCGTGAAGCAACTAAGTAAATATCTACCATTTTTACCGACACCCAGGTGAATAATTGTTGTAGTATATGCCACATAAGTTGAATAATCAGCCGATTGAAAATTTCCTTTTTTTCCAAAAAGAGCAACAAATGCACATTAGAAAATCAGTAAAATCGCAGTGCGCGATGCTCCTTCGCCGTAAGCGATTTCTTGTTGTAAAAGTTTCCTTCTTGCTTTCTTACGGATAAATAAAACTTCCGAAGGCACTTATTTAAGCCTTTAGGAGCCTCGCTCTGACAAGTAAAATCGTCTAGCGTTAGACTGAGTAAAAGCTATAAGTAACTTTTAGGGAGGAAATGGTCAATTGTCCGAGTGACATTTCTTCAATAGGTGTTTTAAATTCGTCTTGCTGATGAAACCATGCTTCACAACAATAAATGTTTCATTTTTTATATTAATATAGTGCTCGACAGTTCACGTAAACAAGTTATAGTACCTTTTTTATGCTCTAAAATTAGAGTTTGGAAAGATGAAACAACTTAAGCCTTAAACCTCCGAGCTAGCCAATCAGAATGCACGAAAAACACAATTCACTTGTGTGGTATATATCATGTATTATTAAAAACTGGATCATTGGATAATGCAATTCAAGACTTTTTATTGGCTTAGCCATTATGGTATATGAGCCAATATTCCATAATCTACAAATATGGCAAGCGTACGCGGCAGCTTAAAATCAAAAGGGAGCTAAAACTCCTGTTTTTTCTTACAAAATAATAATTTCTTGGGGGAGTTTTTAATAAAACAATTATTCCACTCACGCTTGTTGGATATGAGATGATTATAGCCAACTTGGCGCTACGCGCCTCGTTGGCTATCTATCACCTCATATCCAACGCGCGCTCGTGGAATAATTGTTAATTATATTATTATTAAAAACTGGATCATTGGATAATGCAATTCAAGACTTTTTATTGGCTTAGCCATTATGGTATATGAGCCAATATTCCATAATCTACAAATATGGCAAGCGTACGCGGCAGCTTAAAATCAAAAGGGAGCTAAAAATCCTGTTTTTTCTTACAAAATAATAATTTCTTGGGGGAGTTTTTAATAAAACAATTATTCCACTCACGCTTGTTGGATATGAGATGATTATAGCCAACGAGGTGCTCGTGGAATAATTGTTAATTATTATTATTATTATTATTATTATTATTATAATTATTATTATGCTTGTTCCCCCGGCTCCCAAATCCAATTTGCTTACTCCGGGAAACACTCTGGTATCTATTTAATGTCCAAGGTTTGTCCACCAACAATTCTTAACCTAGTTACATTTTTTCCAAAAATCATGTGGTAACATCCAGTTACAAAAAGACTACAAACGTCATGTCCAACTACATGAAATCTTCAAAGTTTTGAAAAGATGGTTTACTCTAAGGAGCTGAAACTTTCAGTAGCTCTTCCTTCATTCTAAGCAGAAATTTTGATACGTCAATTGTGTGTCCATCATTTTGACGTTGCCATGGCAATCATCAAATTCTACGCAGGTCTGACCAAAAGTCATCTTTTTTAAGAGAATCCCTCAGTTTTTTCCAGGTTTCTTCATCAAATAACAGAAATTCATGTATTTGTACTTTTCACAATCATTCTAGCTTGATTTTGTGTTAATTTTCCAAATGTTAACTTTTTGTAAGAAGTAGTGAAGTCCAAGATGGCGGATCCAAGATGACGGGTCAAATGATGTCATTGCCAAGAAAAATTATGTCATCTTGTGGAGCAAGCTCAGGGGTATCTAATCAATGTAAATTTATTTCGCTCTGCCTGAACAACCGCGGTGGTGCTTTGAGTTGGCTTGTACGTCCGAGAGTTAACTTTTGAATCTTTAAAAGAAATCTTTAATTGTGACCATTCAAATGAAAGCTACTGAGCAGTATTTTCCTGCGTTGTGTTTATTAAGCAGTGCAAGGTGATATTAGTGGTTTTAGTCTGTCGATGGACTCTTCGAACGCAACCTTTCAAATGAAATCTACTGAGAAATTCTTTCATCAGCCTAGAATAGCTTTGCTAACTGCGGGCTACAAAAGCCTTTATTTCTTTCATTTTAAAAAAATAAAGTCAATGTTGTTGTTGTTGTTGTTGTTCATCCTATTTTTGTACTTAAAAAAAAAAACATGCTTACCTGAGTTCAACACAATTCTCTCAAGGTCATCGTACTTTATCCCTGGACAAAGGTTTGCTTTCTTGAGAAGATAAGAGGTTTGATAAGCCTCAGCACCATAGAACAGAAAAACGTTTGGGACTGGAGATGGAGTTTTCTCGAGAACGTCTGCCAAGCAAGTATCATATTCCTGATAAATGAAGCAAAGAGAAGGAACTAAGAGAGAAAGTTATTCTCATTAACATACGTATATAACTGATCAAATATAAGTCTTTCAAATACTCGTGCAATTGTTGGAAAAACAGAATCGCCCGATGTAAAGAATGAAGAGACCTTTGCTATTTTCCAATGAGATGGAAATACACCAGTGGTGATAGATTTATTAAATAAGTCTGTTAAGCTTTTATAGATAACAGGAGCAGCTATTTTCAAAGTTCTATTTGATATTTTATCGATACCAGTTTCCTTGTTAATTTTTACCCCATTCAATAATTTTAGCACACTAGCACTGGAGGCTTCCACTTTTTTTCAAATTAAAGCTAGAATCATTTTTAGTCAAGAATTCTGTAGGAGTAATATTATCTT